TCTACAGCTCTAGGCTAAACCACTGCTATGCCATCTTCTTCATAACACCACATACTGTGGCTTGACAAAGTATGGAGGCTGAAACCCCAGTGGAGATAGCAAACATTACCCCTACACGCTGATCTTGGATTTCCACTCCTCCATTTAATAGTCAAGGTTAGGATTGGGGAGGGATAATCTGATCCTAGACCTGTGCCTATATGGCTAACTTCTACCCAGGGTACCTCCAGCAGCCCGCAACAATGAAATGTCTACACAGTGGGAACGATCCAAGGAGCTTGGACTAGCCCTAGGGATCACCTGACCTGTATCCAATTAAACCTTTATGGGTGGATCAGAGAAGAGCTCCTGCAGGGGGGAAAAGCCCATGTAGTGGATGCCTGGATGGGCTCACACAGACAGAGAGAGAGAGAGAGAGAGAGAGAGAGAGAGAGAGAGAGAGAGAGAGAGAGAGAGAGAGAGAGAGAGAGAGAGAGAGAGAGAGAGAGAGAGAGAGAGAGAGAGAGAGAGAGAGAGAGAGAGAGAGAGAGAGAGAGAGAGAGAGAGAGAGAGAGAGAGAGAGAGAGAGACAGAGATACAGCAGTGTGCAATCAGAGCTGCAAGATTTGTGGCCGTTGCCATGTGAAAAGGGCAACCAGTGGAGAGGACAAACAGCATTGTAAATACCACCAATATTTATCTGTTTATTTATCTTCCCGTACGATTCATACTACAACTATTTGCACATTGCTAAAGCACTGATAATATAGGCTGAACACTTGAAATGGCTTTATCTTTTTTAAACCTTTTTGAGTACAATATTTACTGTTAAATTATAATACTATTTTTTGTTGATGTTGTCTTGTGTCTTCTCACTTTAGTTTATTGTTTATTTCACTTGCTTTGGCAAGAGAGAGAGAGAGAGAGAGAGAGAGAGAGAGAGAGAGAGAGAGAGAGAGAGAGAGAGAGAACATCCCAGAACCCCACACACAAAAGGAGCTCATGCCTGTCCTTTCCACAGACTTTGGGCAAATGTGACTTTAATGAACCATTGGTGAATGGACATAGAACAGGGATCAGTAGGCACCGGATGACTGGTTCGCATCACATTCAAACTTGCACTTGAGGGTGTGTTAGTTTGTGGCTGATCTGCACACAGCATGGGGTTAACTTCTGGTGTGTGCCTGTGACTGCATGGTGAAATAGTAGTCTGTGTTTGGGATTTCAACTTCCATGCATGTTGACCCTATATATAAAGGGTATATAACATATTTTCCATGGATTGCATTTTACAGTCATTTCATGAGTTCATGCTCAAATTTGCAGCCTTATGTGACCATACATGATACAACATAAATGATAGCCTACACAACCTTCGTTTATTTTCAATAGGGAAAGTAATTGTTATGGTCCTATAGCAAAGCAATTGAGCATTACCAACGAGTGAATCCTGTTTGCTATTTTAATCTTTCAGACTCCTTGTCGCTTTGCTTTCTAGTTGAACTTGAATGGGAATCAGCAAGGAGAGCAACGAAGGCGTGTGAGCCTCGTTACGTCACTGGTTCCTAAACCCGAGGCATCCCGGTAGAAACAGTAGGCTACTGCTGTTGAACCCATGTAGCGGCTGAAGTGCACGCAGATGAACGATTGTGGACTCCAATGTGCCATACACGCTTGATGAAAATGTGGCTTTTATGCATTTCGGAGGCGTTGAAATTGTGAATAATGTGGAATAACCGGTGTCGGATTGGTTCCTGTGTGTCACTTTACCGTTTTGCGACATGCTCGCAAATATAATTTGCCAACATTTGCTGGGATTTATATGAACGGAACTTTGGAGAGGCGGCGTCATCCAGCTCCTCTGGTAAGTACACTAGGAAATTGCATTGCTTTACACTGATAGAGTAACGACAATGTATTGCATAAAACCATTGGAAATAGCAGGAGTCTTTCATCATGATCATCATCAACATGATACACTTCCGAGGAGGCTTTAAATAGTACATTTTACTGGTAGCCTATCCTTCACAATCTCCAAGATTCCATTCTCACTACACACACACACACACACACACGCACGCACGCACACACACAACACACACGCACACACACACACACACACACACACTATAAAGTTGTGGGTGAGCAGCAGCGCTTCCGTCCAGAGCGCAGTGCTTCGGAGAGAAAATAGCAATAGTAGTGAGAGAGCGCCATCAATCGCATACCGGTCACACTCCCATGCGCACGAATTTGGGAATAAGATATTATTGCACATTTATTACAACGAATATTCCAACATGAAGACACTTCTTGAATAGCACGCGTGTAAATGTGCACTGCCTCTCATTGCACACATTGAAATTAATTCATGTTGTAAATAGGAAAACTCTCCCCCCCATAGGCTCATAATAAAACGTTGTAGGCTATTTGAACCTCACTACTGTATAGTCCCTATTATATTAATAGGGACTACTATTAACTCAAGTGGGAAAAAATTGACTCAAAGCGGGAAAAGATATCCCCAAATAACAATTTTAAATTGCTTGGATTTCCTCATAAATGTGCTAAAACATTGTAGGCCTAGCCTACATTGGGGGAATAAATTGTAATGTTCACTTTATGGATGCATATAAAATGCAATCATAAAGGATAATAGTGCATAGGTATTGGCATGATTTCCCCCTATGAAATCCTGTTTTATATGATTAGCCTATTATAGCCTAGGAAGGAATAAGTCATTTAAATTAGACTAGGGAATAGAGCCGATCAAAGTTTTACCGTTATCTCTGTTCTTGAAGCCGGGGAGCGAGCTGGTTGTTTTATCTTCATGCCAGCAAAGTAGATCCGGGCGTGCGCAACGCGGAGAGATACTAGGCGAATGCGGTGTGGAAGAAAGGGAGCAGGAGAAGAAGTGGATAGTGGATATAGTCGCGGAGAGGGAAGTCCACGTAGTTACCATGCAGACATTCGTACCTTACAAACTACATGAAAAACCGCCAAATCCACGCCGTTAATGAGGGAATAGGTATGTAATGTGATGTATTTGTTGGATCACTTTTCCTGTGAATGAGCAAGTTGTCTTTGTCGTTTGTGAATCGGAGTTAAAAGTTGAGATAGTCCGGATCGGACTAGTTCTCTGTAAGTAGCGCTCGAGCAGTGGACTGAAATCAGAGCCCTTTCTTTCCTACAGTGAAGTTTAACGCCTTAAAGTTTTTAGGAAAGGTATTAAATAGGCTACTATCGGAATTAGAGACTATGGAAGTTGGTCATTGTTTTATGCCTTTTGTTTATTTGTGGGAATTGTTTTACACCTTGTGAAGTGTTGGCGGTTCGGGCATTGTTGCATTTTTAAACAATCCATACATCTGGCTCGCGCACGGCCGCCGTGTCTACGTAAAATGAATAGGAATGGAGACCGTTGGGGGATGGGTCGGACAATTAAACAACAGACAGAAAGCAATGATTTTCATGAAGCTGTTTAGTTTTTGCCTTTTTGCCTTCTACCAAAAATATAAATTCAGCACAAAGGTGCATTATAGTATATAACATGGAAAAACATGTAAATATATATTTTTTCATTCTTTATGATTTGCCAGGAATAGCCTAGTTCAACAGTTGAAAAATCCTGGAAGTGTATGCAGACTTAGTTTAAAAAAAAACATTGTACATGTATTACTTTTACTTACGATTGCTTACTAACCTGATATGACTGTGCCATAAAGCCCTACACTGGAGGCATCAATAGTTAGCCTAATCCTCAGGGGGGGGAAAATATAGCCTCAAGGCATACTTTTTTTTGTGCAAGTTCTCATGCATGCATTATGCTACTAGCCCCATAAAACCTATAGAATATTGTCTATTGCACACATACATTGAGCATGTATTTTGAACAGATCTAAGGCAGCTGGACACCAGTGTCCGTCAATAGCCGGGGCTGGGATGTTTTAACATTCTCCAGTGTTTCCCGATGGCAACCAAAGCCCAAGAGCAGCTCTGTGTTTATTTTAGCACAGCCTACTAGACAGAAAATAGGCAAGCCCAGGAACTAAGGCCCCAGAGTCAGTATAGACACAACTTTTAGGGCTAGAATTCAGTTGTTTTGATCATACACTATTTCCAGACATAACAATGGACTTATAGGAGCACAAACCTGTATGCCTGAATGTCACTTCCTTTCGTATTAGACCATCTATTTTGAGTCAGCTTGCATATCTAGTTATGTGAGGACAGTACCACTCTTCCACCATTTCCAACCCTTTCTTCGTGTAATGTATCTGCTTGATCTATTTGCATAATGTCATGTAGATCAAAGAATTTCAAAGATGTGCAATTTAAGGCTGATAGAAGGAATTGTGAGATCTGCTGATCATAGCTTTGAAGTACGTTTTTGCTTGACCTGTGATGGAATAAGTGAGAATTGAATGCCGTACAACTACTTTGTCATTACCAAACACCTCTATCATTTCTACATAGAGGATTTAATTAAATCAATATATGTTCTGAAGTGAAGAGGTTTGTCTCTGAATTGTGCTTTGAAACAGTACATAGGATTTATGTAGTGTATCTTTTCTGTTAAACCTATTGCTGAAATATTAAGAGGAATGCCGGCTTAGATAAATAAGTTATTTGGCCTATATTTTCTCCCTCTCCCCCTCTCTCACATAATACCCATTCATCAGCCTGACCATCATTTGTCATGCCATTTAAATGAGTTCAGTGAGGCTCACAGTAAAGTGAGGAATAAGGTTAGAGACCTTTGTCGAGCAGATATTAACAGCAGCCGTTCACCATGCCACTTTAAAACCAGAACTCTCATAGGAAGGTTCAACCTTTGTCCCTTTTGCTTGGTAGCACAAAGACAGATATTGTATTATGCTCTTAAATTAAAGCACTGATCCATCCCTATTGAGATTTTCGGAAAAATTAATGAAATGTTTAATTGTATGTAATTTTTTAAAGCTTGATTATAACCTTCTGTTTTGTGTGTCTCCAGGTGGTTTGGTAGAGAACACGGTACGAAAATGGGGAAATACTTGACTTCACTGCTCGTGATGCTACTGCAGCTCCTCTGCGGCTGCACAGGGAACCAAAGGACGGAGAAGGAATTGGCCCTGCAGTTCACTCACTCTATTTACAATGCCACTATATACGAGAACTCTGCTGCTAAGACCTACTTGGAGAGTCATGCCAAGATGGGCATCTACATCACAGACCCCACCTGGGAGATACGGTACAAAATAGTGTCAGGAGACAATGAGAACCTTTTCAAAGCAGAGGACTACGTGCTGGGAGACTTTAGTTTCCTGAGGATAAGGACCAAAGGAGGCAGCACTGCCATTCTGAACCGGGAGGTCAAAGACCACTACTTTCTCACTGTCAAAGCTGTGGAGAGGGTCACCAACGTGGAGGCTCGCACCCGAGTCAAGGTCCAGGTCCAGGACACCAACGACCTGAGGCCTCTGTTCTCGCCCACCTCCTACAGCATCTCGCTGCTCGAGAACACGGCCATACGGACCAGCGTGGCCAAGGTCACGGCCACGGACGCCGACATCGGGACGAACGGGGAGTACTACTATAGCTTCCGGGAGTGGACAGATATGTTTGCTGTCCACCCCACGAGCGGGGTGGTGACGCTGACGGGAAAGCTGGATTACTCTGAGACCAAGTTGTATGACCTGGAGATCCTGGCGGTGGACCGAGGCATGAAGCTCTACGGGAGCAGCGGCTTCAGTAGCATGGCCAAGCTGACGGTGAGGGTGGAGCAAGCCAATGAGCACGCGCCTGTCATCACTGCCGTCACCCTGGCACCCTCGGGCGCTGACCGCGACCCCACCTACGCCATAGTGACCGTCGAGGACAACGACCAGGGACCAAACGGGGAGATCGCGTCGTTGAGCGTGGTGGCGGGCGACCCCCTCCAGCAGTTTAAAGCCATGAGAACTAGTCCTGGGAGCAAGGAGTACAAAATCAAAGCGGTCAAGGATGTAGACTGGGACACCCAGCCTTTCGGATACAACCTCACGTTACAGGCCAAGGACAAAGGAAGCACCCCACAGTTTTCCTCAGCGAAAGTGGTACATGTGACATCCCCTCAGTTTAAAATGGGCCCCCCTAAATTCGAATATGCTGTTTATAGGGTCAATCTCAGTGAGTTTGCCCCTCTCCATACACCTGTTGCTATGGTAACTGCATTGCCGAAGTATCCACAGTTGAAGTATGCTTTCAGATATAAGACAGAGAAGAATCGTTTTGCTATTAATCCAGACACTGGCTTAATCACCACAACTGGACCCATCTATGCGGATTATGCCCCTAAATTTGAACTAGAAGTTATTACCAGTGACAAAAAGGCAGCGACTAAGGTTATCATTGACATTATGGATATTAACAATAATGCCCCTGAGTTCCAACAGACCTCTTACAAGGCCACCATTGATGAGAATGTACCTGTAGGGACCAACGTGTTAGCAGTGAAAGCCACTGATCTAGACAGTGGCGAGAATGGGTATGTGACTTACAGCATTGCCAACGTGAGCCCACAGCCGTTTGTCATCGACTACTTCTCTGGTGTCATCAGCACCTCAGAGGAGCTGGATTATGAACTGATGCCAAGGATTTACAATCTCAAAATCAGGGCTTCAGACTGGGGTTCCCCTTTCCGACGGGAGGTGGAGGCATCAGTTACTATCACACTGAATAACCTGAATGACAATAAGCCTCTATTCGAAAATATCGACTGTGAAGTCACGGTGCCAAGAGACCATGGCGTGGGAGAGCAGATAACGACGGTGTCTGCTATTGACGCTGACGAATTGCAGCTAGTGCGGTACGACATAAAAGCTGGGAATGATCTTGATCTCTTTGAATTGAACTCCAACTCGGGTGTGCTTTCTTTGAAACGAACACTGAGCGAGGGGGAGGCAGCTAAAGTGTCCTTCCATAGCTTACAGATCAGAGCCAGTGATGGAGAGCATGAGACTGAACCAATGATTATGAACATCACTGTCATCACAGCTCGCAAGCCTGTCCAATTGAAGTGCGTCGACACTGGGGTTGCTACGATGTTGGCAGAAAAGCTGCTTCATGGCACTAAGATCCACACCCCAACTGAGCCTGACGATAACTTAATGGACATCCATTCGGTTAACCGCTACTCCCCTCAGTTTGCAGAGTCCTTCCCCAGTGTCATTGAGGTCAAAGAGGACCTTCCGGTTGGGGCAAGGGTAGTCCATCTAAGCGCATCCGACACAGACAGTGGTTTTAACGGAAAACTGGTGTACGTTATTTCAGGAGGAGATACAGAGAGTCGTTTCATTGTAGATATGAACACCGGTTGGCTTTTGGTTTACGCACCACTGGACAGGGAAACGACAGACCACTACACACTGAATGTCACAGTCTACGATCTGGGAATACCGCAGAAGTCCTCCTCGCGTCTTTTAGACGTTAAGATCTTGGATGCTAACGATAACAGTCCGCAGTTCCTGCAAGACTCATATTCGGTGGAAATAAGTGAAAACACACCAGTGGGCACTGAAATCGTCCAGGTGGATTCCACAGATAAGGACCAGGGAGATAACGGAGTAGTCAGGTATTCGATTGTGGCCGACACTGACCAGTTTGCCATTGACGAGCTGACTGGAATAGTGACGGTGAAAAAGCCGCTGGATCGCGAGGTGCACCCGGTTTACATTCTGAAGATCGCTGCACGTGACCAGGCCATTAATGAACCTCAACTCGTGTCTACAGTGTTGCTAAAGGTCGTTCTCGAGGACGTCAATGACAATCCTCCCAAATTCATCCCGTCAAATTACCGCGTGAAAGTGAGGGAGGACCTCCCGATCGGCACTGTGATTATGTGGCTGGAGGCTCACGACCCGGATGTCGGGCTGTCCAGTCAGGTACGGTACAGCCTCATCGATAACGGGGACGGCAACTTCGAGGTGGACAAACTCAGCGGCGCGGTCCGCATCCTGCAGAATCTGGATTACGAGAAAAAGCAGGTGTACAATCTCACGGCGAAAGCCAAGGACAAAGGGAAGCCCATGTCCTTATCGTCGACATGCTTTATTGAGGTGGATGTAGTGGACGTAAATGAGAATCTGTATCGCCCGTGGTTCCCCTCGTTTGTGGATAAGGGATTTATAAAAGAGGACGCCCTCATTGGGACATCCGTAATGAAAGTAACGGCTCAGGACGAAGACAAAGGAAGAGACGGAGAAATACGGTACTCCATACGGGATGGCTCTGGCCTAGGGATATTCACCATTGATGAAGAGACTGGTGAGTTTCTCACTTTTCTTTTCCTCTATGTCATTACCATATTGCCTCTATGTGAAGGCCCATTTTGTTTATCATTTATTATTTAAGGTACCAAATGGGCATGCATGAATTTTAAATGACTGGGATGCGAGAAGGGGTGTAATCCCCTGTATCTGTGCAGATTGTGTTTGTCTGCCCATGTCCTTCCTCCCCCCCTGAAATATCAGTGGTGGGGGCAAATGGTGAATGGCGGTGAGGGTTGCTTCCTGGAGAACCGCTAAGCTTCCTGATTCCTTTCATTTTTCTGTCTGAGGGAAGAGAATTGATGGCAGGAACAGCTGGAGCAGCTGTCTTCTAGACCTGCAGTAGACATTCCAAACTAGTTGCTGTGGAATTATGAGGATTGCTGAGTGATTTTACCCACTGACTCCCCATTTCCCACACGGCACTGTTGTGCTGAACACTGCATTTTGTTTCAGTGTTGAAAAACTGGTCATATGCAAATGGTATAATGCTTCATGCTAGCTCATCCCACATGAGATGGCACTTGTTTGTATAATGAGAGAGTTGTTTTTCTGTGATTGTCAAATCTACTTTAGTATTGCAAATCTATATTTTTGTGTGTGTGGCGAAATGCACTTGCTGGCGTCTTTGTGGTCTTACAAAGAAAGTATTAATACTTTTTTTTCAGCTGCTCACAGACGTTAAATCACCTGTGCCAAGGATTTAAAAATAAGCAGTCTGGAATTCAAACGGTTTTGCCACAAAAAGCTACTGGTCACCCCATTTTGGGTGTGTCAGACCTGGCTTGCTGCCCTTCATTTTAAACATAGTTACCATACTCTGGGTGGCTTAATGTCAGTTTTTCCCTTTTAAAATGTATTTGTGCATGGCAGTATACATATTTAATGTACAAATGGGCTGGTGAAACTTGATGCATAAAACATCAGGTTTTTAGCATATATGTAGTCTATCCCTAAGTGTGGAAGTTCAATGCAAAGTCTCTGGAAATGTAATTTACAGATTTTAAAGTAACTAAATGAGAAATTGACGAGTGCATGTTAATTTAGATTCAGGTGGAGGCATACACTTTATTAAGCTGAGTAATTAGCTGGGCCTTTCGTGAACCTGTGGGGAAATCACACTTTCTTTGCTGTTAAATTTAGCATGACGGGATGAGCCGGCACGAAGCATTGCTCCTTAAGGACCATCTGTCAGCTATTGTGCCTGTCCAGTGATTGTTCTCTCTGGGGTAGTTGTTGGATTGTTGCTTGTAGATTATTCTACCTCTTTTGTTCAAAGATACTGAGGAAAATGTAAATAGAGTGAACTGGAGCGAGCCTTTGATTCTTGAAATGCGATTTGAAACTCGTCTGAGATTGGTTTAAAATGGCTTCGGTCCCACTCATCAAAGTTTGTAGAAACTTTCTCACACACAATGCACTCTTTAGGGAGTTGACATTTGAAATGCGGTGCCTTATATTTAGGCAACAGAGATTTCTGCTCTGGGCTTTGTTAGTTGAGACTCGGCCCTTGGCTTGGGGCTGTGGATCTTAGGCCGAATCTCTGAAGTGTTCTTGTTTCCGTAAATGACACCCACTTCTTGTTTGAAATCCCACTCCTGAATGTATAGGATGCAGGTCACTGGGAGCTCCTGACCTGCTCTTCCTCCCCTGCCCGCAACCTCCATGGCCTTCAAAGTGATTTATCAGGAGTGGCAATGATAGGATTGTCCTGCTATTCAGCCCCGTTGTTAGGGATCACAGCCAGAGCTGGTAGCAAACCAAATATGCCGAAGGCAACGGTGTGCCTCCTAGAAATTCATGCATTGACTGAAGGAGGTTTGGGGGGGGGGTTAGTTTGGGTCTGAGCAGAGGGGGTGTGAGGTCACCACATGAGGATTATGCGCTACGAGAAATCAATGTAAAACAAAGGGTGCACCCCAGCATCGCTTTCACCCAGTCATGCAGCTGCAGCTAGTGCTTTCTGACCAGTAGAAAAACAAGGGTGGAGAAGAGAAGAAAACAAATGAAAAGTGCTAAAATCAAAGGGTACATGCCAGAAGCCACACACACCTTAAGCTCTGGAAAAGTTTTTATGAGGGGGCTAGTAAGGAAAGGCTGGCTAACATCTGTGGCTGGTTAAGTTAAATGCCTTTTGGAATCTCATGTTCTCTGTATGCATGCTTTATTTATTCACTTTATCCTCTTGAACCCCTGGGTTTGAGAATGGAGGGGTAGTGATGAGGAATGCGTAATTGAAAAGGTCTTTAGTGCCCACTTGACTCCCTTACCTCTCATCTTACCGCCAAGAAGATACCATTTTGGCCCTCAGTTTTTCTCCTTAAGCCTAAATCTTGAACTTTATAGTTAGATACTAGCTTAATTTAGTTCAGTGAACAGAGGCAGAAATTAATTTATGTAACTTCAGATTTCAATATATTTTTTTACCCGTTTCAGGGTTTGCCTTTGATAACAGCAGTAATTCAGCAATTTTTAGGCCAAAATAAGATTAGCAAAACCCAGAAAGTTGTTACTTCTAAGATAGTAATCAGCATGTTTTCCCCCTATCCAGCTCTTATTGTCCGACTGCAGACGGCTATATCTGGCAAACGTCTGGCCCGGGCCCCTCCGGATCTCTGGCCCTTGTATTTACATCTGCACATCACACAAACATGTTTAGAGCTGGGGGCTATGTGGAGCCCTGGTGAGATTTTGTGTGCAGTCCAGGCTAATTCTGTCCTCGTGTGTGCTCAGACACTGCTAATGGGGGCCTGACACACTTAAGGCCAGCTAGGTATGCCGCTAACCTGATTGATGTTTCCAGGGCCATGCATGGAATCTAGTTCCTTGATTTAATAAACCTTTAGTTGGAAAAAGGAACAAAGAACTGGAGCTTGAGGTCATGATACAGAGAGAAGAACAACAAGATGGAGTCCTTTCACAAAGTAGGCTAGTTAAGGCTGCTAGCGAGAGGGTGGTTGTTGTGGTTCGGTGTAGAAGTTAGGGCTGGGAATTGCCAGAGACCTCACAATATTATATTATCACAATACTTAGGTAACGATACGGTGTATATTGTATTTCTCGTGATTCTATATGTATTACGAATCTATACTGTGATTTTATTGCGATTCGATGTTCCAAACGTATTGCTCACCATATGTCTGCTGCAGAGGGGCAAGAGAGAGCCATGAGGAAATGAGTTTTGATCAGTCATGGAAATAAAAGTGCTGAAAACAAATTGGCTCCCTATTTTAAAAAGATGGAGAACAAGCTTTGAAGGAAAAATACTGGAGTTTTGGTGCAGGTACAGCCAACGAGCTCAAAAACTATATTGCGATATTGTCGATACGATATATCATAAAATAATAATATCCCAATATGTAACTGTATACATTTCCCCCCCCCCCATCACTAGTAGAAGTTGTTGTGGGGTGGTCGAGGTGGTGAGTGGTATTCATTTGGGACAAAGCCACTGAACATTCCATTCTCTCTGTGCATCTAAATTGAGATCAACTCTTAATGGTCTTCACTCTGCAGTGCACTATAAATGCTTTTCACCGACGTTCCTATAAAAAAGCCAGTAATGCAGCTGTTGTTGCTTAGGGAAGAGGAGGGGTGGAGGATGTTATTTGTCATGGGCTGTGCTTGATTAGTTGCGAGGTAGGATATAGGCCTAGTCCCTATAAGTCCCCTACTGGTACATTGTTGTCAATGGAGACCGTTCTCCAAGTAGATCAATTAGACTTGGTGCTTGCACGAAAGGATTGACTACCGTTTATGAGGTCAGGGAAGGGTCCTCTGTGATCAATTAAGCATGTCTTTCTGTTAGAACTCCTAATAGCTTTGACGAAAAGAGCTAGTTCGACCAGACTCTCTCTCTCTCATTGTGTCTCTCCTCCAGGAACTGCTAGTTTTGATGCTGTTTTGGCAGCACTATTGAAGTCATGTCTTTAAGTTCGTTAGCCTACTTTGTGAACTGAGGTGAACAACCAAGATGTGATATGCAATTTGCACGGATTCACTTAACTGGTTAGGTAAGGTTAAAAAGGAAGAACAGGGGAAAAAAGAGGTGAAAATGCATATTGATTAAAGTCTCCAGGCTTAAAATATACTAGTAGTAAAGGTGAACAAAGGTGTAGGCCTTCATGCGGTGTGTTTGCATTTATGTCGGAAAAACTGAAGGAATCTCAAACAGCCCCAGTGGAATCGCCTCTTCCGTCCAGATGCTCATTGGATAATGTATGCATTGCCCTTTGCTCATTGGATAATGTATGCGTTGCCCTTTCGCTTCAAGTTGGAGGCAGCCGGTGTGCTGAAAGAGCTCTTTGTGGAGGCAAATGAAATAGTTTGACGTGTAATGACAAAGTTCTGTGAGCTTGTGTTTTCCCCTCTTCAAATTGGGCCTTCCTCCCCCCTCTCTTCCCCCAAATCCCCCCCCCCCCCCCCATTGCCCTTCCTGTCGAGAGCGAGGTAGGGCCGACCCTCAGTGATGCCAGATAAGGGAGGTATGTGCTGAATGGTTTTGTCTTTTCATGTTTGGCTGCCTTCACTATCCCAGGGTGAGGCGATAGCCGTGTCTGCTCCACCAAAGCTTCATGGGAGATTGATTGAACCCAAGCACCCGTGGCCGGTCCCTTCTATTTTTTGATTCTATATGCAGAAGCTCAAGCCAGAAGTGTGACTTCTTCAGCACACTCAAAAGAGCCACATGACTTGTAATGGTCTTTGCTTGAGCGCTGTTGCTGGGGCGACGGGACCAGGAATGTGCAGTAGGCCAAAGTTGATTGTAGGGTGCTAAATGAAAAGCACACTTTCCCCAGTTAAAGTTTGTTGCTTCTCTCAGCCCATTAATTCTTTTTTAGAAACCTGTAAAGGTGCCGCGTGCAGATGGCGTGCTCGATTGCGAGTTAACTGTTGTCATGCTAATCTAGGCAATTGAGACCCGCAGCTAATAATGGTTGGTGACATTTTGTTTTATTTTTATGTAAACTACTGTAATTTAAGGCTCTACACAAGTTGCTAATGGTAGCACAGAGATTCTGCAGACACATACAAAACTGCAATAACTACATGTTTGTCACACGTTTGACAGGAAAGAAAAGCATAAAATTCATCTTAGTGAAGCCATTTTGTTGTTCAGTTCTCTATCTTGGCGTGTGTTCCCATGTTACTTTGAAAAGACCTGCAGTTCCCTGTGGCATGTTCACCTGAATGTGAAGTCGTTGTTTTCCTATCATAGCCCCAATCAAAATGGAGTTTACCGCAGTGAAGGGGGTAACCAACAGAGGCTTAGCTGGCTGATTATTTTATAGCATCTCTATATGATGCATTGGCTCTCAAAGCGTAACTGACTGATTGCCAAAGTGAAATGGTACTTGGCGCAACGAGTTCTGAGGTTTGAGAGACAGCCACTTAAAATAAAACGTTGAGAGATGAAGATGCTCCTTTTGAATTCCCCGTCCGTCATGTTCGCTGTCAATGTAAAGACCAAAGACAGGAAATATCAGAATTAAGGTAGCATGACCAGAGACAGCAGCTTATTGGCACTGGGTTCAAGTCCCATGTTATACAGACGGAGACAGTGCCATGTTTAGGCCTAAGTGCCGTGTTTAGGCCTAAGTGCCATGGTTGTCTCTTAGGGTTGAAAAGCTTGGGATAGAAAATGCTGGCCAAACATGCATTTAAACGCCCATACTATCCCAACATTCCTGTCATACCTCTCAACAACCATAATGCCTCTTATAGGCCTATACACCACTGTTATCTCTAATCTCCGAAGACAATAAAAATGGAATGAAAAAATAATCAACCTTTGTAAATGTCAGCGCGGCAGCCTGTTGGAAAACGAGAACAGACCTATATTTCAAAGCGCCTTATCTGTCTCCAAAAAAGGCCTTTCCACGGGAACCGTTTACCGCAGCGCATTGAGTCTGTGTCAGTGGGCAACTATCTCAGGGGGCTTCATCAAAATGTTGCGATAAGGGGAAGACAGACGGTGCATCGCGCACGCTATTATCAGAGGAGTGGGGCATGGCACCGGAGGGCCGGGAGGTGACAGGTCTTAAATTATAACGTGATATTAAACCAGGTGGCCCAGCTCTGAGGCCTTTGAAATAACACTGCGCTCTGTGACAATGGAAGCTGCCTGGGCATGTCCCAATAGGCTTCTTCAACTGGAATTAATGGGCTAAATTCTGCCAGAAAAAAAAGAGAAAAATCCCATCAGGCATGTTCTCATTGCATCACTCCCCTTTCCTTCATTAAAGACTCTCTCGCTTTCACTCTCTCTCGCTGCATTCTCCCCTCTCCCCCTCACTCCAGATGAATGCAGCCATTCTTTTCGTTTTTCCTTGGGCCAGAGAATATAGAATATTATTATTATTTTATTACACAGTGCATGATGCTATAGTTTTGATATCCATGCCGCTTTAAAACGTTAATGCCCCACTGGTCTGTTAATGCAGTTTTAGTAAATGGCAGTTGTTTAGTGCTTTTATTCAGTGCCCTCCCCTTTTAAGACTATAAGATTAGGTCAATATGTAGAGCAAAGCGCACAGCTCCACATTGTTAAGCTGGCTGAAATGATTCAGTTTGTCTAAAGTTTTAAAGTACAATTTCCCTTAAGCCCAGCTGTTGATAGCGCTGGTTTTAGCCTCTGGTGGCAATTGTATACAAAATGCACAATGATGCGTGAAGCGGAAATGGCTGGTGGGGGCACAACTCAGAGGATCGCCGGGTCAAAGAGAGATCAAATCAAATGTTATTTGTCATATGCGGCGAATACAACAGGTGTAGACTTTACTGTGAAATGCTTACTTACGAGCCCTTTCCTAACAATGCAGAGTTGAAAAGTAATTAAATTAGCAAAAATGAAGAAAAAAAATTAATTAATAACAATAACGAGGCTATATACAAGGAGTACCGGTACCGAGTCAGTGTGCTGGGGTACGAGGTAGTTGAGGTGATTGAGGTAATATGTACATGTAGGTAGGGGTAAAAGTGACTAGGCAATTAGGTTAGATAATAAACAGAGTAGCAGCAGTGTGTGTGAAAGTGTGTCTATGTGTGAGTGTGTTTGTGTGTGTGTGTTGGAGTCAGTGTAGTATGCGTGAGTGTGTGGGTAGAGTCCAGTGAGTGTGCATAGAGTCAGTGCAAAAAAATATTCTAAAAAAAGGGGTCAGTGCAAATAGTCCGGGTAGCCATTTGATTAACTATTCAGCAGTGTTATGGTTTGGGGGTAGAAGCTGTTCAGGAGCCTTTTGGTCCCGCTTGCCGTGCGGTAAAGACCTGCGCTTTTGTGTTGAGAGACTCTGTGTGAACTCATCATGCAGCAGTTTTGATGATTGTTTTCCCGGATCTACACTAATGTACTGAATACCCGCTGAGTGCTGGTCACTCTTCAAAGTGCCACCATATTTGGTCAATGACCCCGATATGGTCTATGACACTTCAATAGCCTGCTAAGTCCTATTTTGCATGGTGATTCTAAGCCTGTGGCCAATGTGTTACTGTGTGTAACTCAAGCTGTCTGCGTTATTCAGATTTATGAATTGGGTGGTTCGATCCCTGAATGCTGATTGGCTGATAGACGTGGTATATCAGACCGTATACCGCGGTTATTATATTTTTACTGCTCTAATTACGTTGGAAAGCAGTTTATAATAGTAATAAGGCACCTTGGGTGTTTGTGGTATAAGGCCAATATACCACGGCTAAGGGCTGTGTCCAGGCACTCCGCATAAGAACAGCCTTTAGCCGTGGTATATTGGCCATATACCACACCTCCTCGTGCCTTATTGCTTAAATATTCATAATTCTATGAAGTAATAAAGACGATGAGTGCGACAGCGAGACCTGTAGGCTATGTGGGTATCCCATGAGGTGGAGTTTTTCGGCTTTGGCTGGACTTCATAGCCTTGTGAATCTTTCAAAAGATTCAGGCATTAATACTTACAGTGTGGACTGAATAACGTTGGAAGTGCAGGGCTAGGCTAGGTCTTAGCTTCTGAGAACTCTTGGAACCAAAGAGATGATATGATTTAAGTCGTGGGGGCATGGGAAGCTTAGCTCAGGACTCTATTTCTAATACACCCAGGGCTCTACGTGGTGGAGGAATTTGAAGCATTTCGCCAGGGCCGGTGGAAAGAGAAGAGGGGGGAAAAAAAGCACTGAGAAGGTTTATGTAAGCATGTGAGGCAGGAGTCCTAAGTAGGCTGAGGAATGCGAGGGGAAAGGAGAGAGGAATTACCGAGAGGTAGTTCAAAGCAAATGTCTGACTTTTTAAAGTGCAGACCGAGGAAGTGCTGGCGTAAGCCGAAAGAGCTGATCTCTCGGTCTTGAGAAGACACGTTTCTGTTCTCTCATGGTCTCCGAAGCGGGTAAATTATTCCTGTACGGTCTCTTGTTGTGAAGGTCATCGGAAGACCATCTCGACTTCTGTAGATATCTTTGTCGACAGTAGAAAACCTGTGAAAAGAGAGCTTCTCTCTGGGCTGTGTGAAGTTGACAGCAGCCTAATTCCTCATTACAAGTTTTCAATGCCAGAAAAATATGATATTGACACAGTTTCTTAACTAGACAGCGCGCTACCATATGAAAATAAGCACTGGGGATATACAGGATTTTGCAAATCCTAATCCTCTTTTGACAAGCGATAATCTTTTTGGCGCTCTAATTTGTTTCAATTGCCAGCTTTTGATATCCATGGCATGTGCAATCCCCTCCATTTGTGGCGACGCCATTGTAGTTACAAGGCCTTCTCCCCAATTTAGCCCCCCGCCCACTAAGTACCCCCTTTCATGACAAGGACCTTGGTCCAATACATGCCAGAAATACTGAGTACACCTCATCCTCTGAACAAAATAGTGAACATCACAGTATAGTTCTGCAGTTACTACCCCGCACTGTGTGGTACATTTTAGTTTTGGCTTGGATCAGCTGGCTTTATCCAATCCACTTAAATTTTTTCTGTCCTCAGTCCTCCAGACCTCCTCTGCCATTTTCCTCGGCGCCTCGAAGCACAACCATGTTATTTCACAATTGTGTCAAAACAACACTCAGCGGCTATGTGTTGTGCAGCAGACTTCTTCCAGCCTCCCCGCTGTAACTAGCTATTGAGTAAATGTCACGGTGGACCTGTTCCGGAGACTGATTGAAGCGAACACACTTTGCAGTTCACACACCTACATGAGATGACAGAATTGTAGGAACAGCGTTAGCCGTTAGCTCTTTATTATTGTGTAGCCTAGCTGCTGTGCTAGGTGGCTGTGGAAGGTGTAGCCTTAGGGTATGCAAGGAAGAGGGAAAGAAAGGAGAGAGAGCAAATCTGGCTGGTAGGTTGCCTAGCCCTTGTCAACTGTTTTTATTGCCTCAAGGGCACATTTCGCAACTTCCTCATTGACTAGCCTAGAAGTATAGGTGCGGTGGCTAAATACCTCTGATTCATCATTTATACACATTTATACAATTATCCAGCCAACTGTTGATTTGATATGTTTCGATAGATGCTTTGTCTTCTGTTATGTTTATTTAAAGCCAGTCACGCATTCATGTATGAATAAAAAGTAGACGTCAACTGAAATTGTCATTGTGTTCAGCAAGAGATTCATTGAAATGGGTTTCTCTTTGAATTGAACTTTATATTATACGCTTCAGAGCCTCATCAAACTATAAAAAATATACAAGATTTGGACTTTCTTACTTCTGCCAATCAACCATTATAATGCTATCGTACCAGTTGGCCTTACCTACCACAGTTTGTTTACGTTTCCTGTGAGGGGTGAGTTTGGGTCAAGGTCCTCTATGACTATGTAGTCTTGTTGTTAGTCACCACTAGAATGAATATATTACATTTTATTTTCGTGTCAAATTGTTAGTTGGCAACCCATCCTTTCCGGGATCATTTGAAACATAAACAAACATTACAATAATTAACTGTGATAATTCTTCTGGTGTTCTGTGCATTACAATAATTCACTGTGATAATTATTCCGGTGTTCTGTGCATTACAATAATTCAAGGTTATAAATCTGTGATAATTGCACTAGCAGTGCAGAACTGCAGTAATATAAAGTAATCTTCTCTATTCTGATAGCTTTAGGATTGGCAGCGGGCTGCTAAAAGCCTGACACTCATGAGCAAATGAAATGGTATGGGTGTGGTGGCTAAATACCTCTGATTCATCATTTATACATCATTTAGTAATTATCCAGCCAACTATTGATTTGATATGTTTTGATAGATGTTTTGTCTTCTGGTATGTTTATTTAAAGCCAGTCACACATTCATGTTTGAATAAAAAGTACCGTATTTTCCGCACTATAAGGCGCACTTAAAAGCCTTTAATTTTCTCAAAAAACGACAGTGCGCCTTATAATCCGGAGCACCTTATATATGGATCAATTGGTTAATTGGTTGATCCATACTGGTTGTACACGGCGCTCAAGGCGCTCTGTCAAAATGTTTCAGTATGAAAAACCAATAAAAACAATTTAATAATAATGACATGTTTCAGTACGACTGGTAAACTACAAAGCCGCACCGCTTGCAGCATTACGGCTACCGTAGTCAGTAAACACCGGTACTGTGCTTACTCACAGTCCCACACCACTTGTGTGTGTATAAAGACCCCAAAATGGCACCTTTCAAGAGACACGCTTACGACGCAGAGTTCAAGCTCAAGGCTGTCGGTCACGCAGTAGAATATGGGAATAGAGCAGCAGCGAGAGAATTCAACATTCATTAATCAATGGTACGGAAGTGGAGGAAGCAAGAAGATGACCTGCGCCAAGTAAAGAAGACTAAACAGAGTTTCCGTGGGAACAAAGCGAGATGGCCACAGTTAGAGGACAAACTCGAACAGTGGGTTGTTGAACAGAGAGCAGCAAGTAGCAGCGTCTCTACAGTCACTATTCGAATGAAGGCAACAGCGCTAGCACGGGACATGATCATCAATGAATTTCGAGGCGGTCCTTCTTGGTGCTTTCGTTTTATGAAAAGACGTAATATCTCCATCCGCACACGAACTACCGTCTCGCAGCAACTGCCAAAAGATTACCAAGAAAAGCTGGTCACTTTCCGCGCATACTGCAAAAAGAAGATCACTGAAAAGAAGATCCGGCCAGAGCACATCACCAACATGGACGAGGTTCCACTCACCTTTGATATTCCCGTGAACCGCACTGTGGAGAAAACGGGGACCAGTACGGTGTCTGTACGCACCACAGGGAATGAGAAGCCATCCTTCACTGTAGTTCTCGCCTGCCAGGCTAATGGCCAGAAACTTCCACCCATGGTTATTTTCAAGAGGAAGACCTTGCCAAAAGAAAACTTTCAAGCGGGCGTCGTCATCAAAGCTAGCCCGAAGGGATGAATGGATGAGGAAAAGATGAGTGAGTGGTTGAGAGAAATTTACGTCAAGAGACCGGGTGGCTTTTTCCACACAGCTCCGTCCCTATTGATCTACGACTCAATGCGCGCCCATATCACCGATGCTGTCAAAAAACAAGTGAAGCAAACTAATTCGGAGCTTGCCGTCATTCCGGGTGGATTAACTAAAGAACTCCAGCCGCTAGATATTGGTGTCAACAGGGCGTTCAAAGCTAGACTGCGAGCTGCGTGGGAGCAGTGGATGACAGAAGGCGAACACACGTTCACCAAGACGGGTAGACAGCGCCGGGCGACTTACGCCACTATCTGCCTTTCACGAAGGCAGGAATAATCTCTGAACTGCCAGGCAACAGCAGCGACACTGACTCGGATAATGACGAGAGGGAGCCGGGCAGGTTGGATGCCGTAGTCGCCCAACTGTTCAATTCGGACACTGAAGAAGAAGAGTTCGAGGGATTCGTGGACGGGGAATGAACTGAAAAAGTGAGCTTTACGTGTTATACGTAACTGAACAATGTTGAGTTATGCACTAACGTTTGATTTAGTGGTATCAGACTGTTTCTTTTACTACGTGTTTACTGAATCAGGGAAAAGTTCCCCTCCACGTTTGGGAGAAGAGTGAGCAAGGCTGGGAGATATTGTTAATATGCACATTAACGTTTGAACAACGTTACCATGGGAGTGAACGGAGTTGTCAGAACGCTTAATAAAGTTTGACTTTATCTGACTATTTAGTTGACATTCCCTTTAGCACAGCTCCATCTAGTGGATGCATAACGCAACCCCAGTCAAACGTTTGACTGCAGTATCTTCTATTCTATGCGCCTTATAATCCAGTGCGCCCTATATATGAAAACAGTTCAAAAATAGGCCATTCATTGAAGGTGCGCCTTATAATCCGGTGCGCCTTATAGTGCGGAAAATACGGTAGATGTCAACTGAAATTGTAATTGTGTTCAGCTAGAACTTCATTGAAATGGTTTCTCTTTGAATTGAACTATTCTAGGCGTCAGAGCCTCATCAAGATTTGGAATTTCTTCCTTCCTCCAGTCGACCTTTACAATGCTATCGTACCAATTGGCCTTATCTACCACAGTTTGTTTAAGTTTCCTGTGAGGGGTGAGTTTGGGTCAAGGTCTTCTATGACTATGTAGTCTTGTTGTTAGTCACCTCTAGCAGTGCAGAACTGCACTAATATAAAGTCATATTCTCCATGGCGATGGCTTTAGGGTTGGCAGAGGGCTGCTAAAAGCCTGACACTCCTGAGCGAGTGGAATGGTTCTGCTATGCCAGTGTCTCCCAGTCAAAAGGATGAGCAGTCAAGCATGGGCATCGCCTTGGCACGGGCACAATAAATGTCTCATCCCTCTCACTCTACCTCTTTTACCTTGTCTCTCACACACACTTAGTCTGATTAGCACACATTCTCACCCTTCCACACAGACCCAGAAATGTACAACACACACACACTCTCTCCCCTCTACCTCAGTCTCTCTCTCCATTTTTCTTTCACCCACTCAACCGTTCTCTCCATCTCATCCTCACTCCTTATTTTTCCAATCTCCACCCTCTCTCGCTGCCTCTCACACACTCACTCATACTCTTTCCCGATGCTCTCGCAGGACGAGAGCATCAGATTAGCACTCACATTTCTTATTCATGCTTCACATTTGCAAATCCCTGCACATCTGTTCCTCCCAGAAGCTATCTCGATGAGTGCAGTTAGCAGTCGACAGTGCTTCCGTGAGAAAAACTCACACTTGCACATTTTGACTGCATTTCTTTGGGGCAATATATATATTTTTATAATCCGTTTACTTCATTATATCATCACTTTTTTTTACGATTTCCGCCTCATGATGGCCCTTTGGGTGCATTTCACATTCAGTGCCAGCCATATGACATCGACCATATTACACCCTGCATGTCTTCAGAAAGTATTCATACCCCTTGACTTAATCCACATTTTGTTGTGTTACAGCCTGAATTCAAAATGGATTAAATATATAATTTACACACAGTACCCCATAATGACAAAGTGAAAACGTGTTTTTAGAAATGTTAGCAAATTTATTGAAAATGAAGTACAGAAATATCTCATTTGAGTCATCTGAGTCAATACTTTGTAGAAGCACCTTTGGCAGCGATTACAGCTGTGAGTTTTTCTGGGTAAGTCTCTTAAGAGCTGTCCACACCTGGATTGTGCAACATTTGCCCATTATTCTTTAAAAAATTCTTCAAGCTCTGTGAAATTGGTTGTTGATCATTGCAAGACAACCATTTTCAGGTCTTGCCATAAATGTTCAAGTAGATTTAAGTAAAAACTGTAACTCGACCACTCAGGAACATTCACTGTCTTCTTGGTAAGCAACACCAGTGTAGATTTTTCCTTGTGTTTTAGGTTATTGTTCTGCTAAAAGATGAATTCATCTCCCAGTGTCTGGTGAAAAGCAGACCGAACCAGGTTTTCCTCTAGGATTTTGTCTGTGCTTAGCTCTATTCCGTAAATGTTTTATCCTGGAAAAACTCCTGGGAAAACAAACTCCTGGAAAAACTCCCCAGTTCTTAATGATTACAAGCATATCCAACCCATTAGGGTTGGGCGGTATCCAGATTTTCATATCCTCATACCGTCCTTCTCTCACACTAGGATTTACGGTATTACTGGCTTAGTACACAAGGGGGCGCAGAAAAAAACACAAAAAAGCCCATTGGGCGTCTTTTACTAGAATGCTAACAAAGTTAGCACAAGTTATCCAGCTAATGAAGTTATACATACACTACCTGTCAAAAGTTTTAGAACACCTACTCATTCAAGGATTTTTCTTAATTTTTACTATTTTCTACATTGTAGACAGTGGCGGCTCCTGAAAAAATTCTCAGGGGGGGCAATTTTTCTGATGATTTAGGTGACCTACACACATTTAAAAAAAGATATGTCCAGCAACAACATGAAGACAGGGGCAGCATATAAGTCAATACCAGAAGCATTTATTGACTGATCTGGGGAGATGGATTCCAGTTTCTGTGACAGATTATAAATAATCTCTGATGCCTTTGTTATATTAGCTTTTGGTTGAATGTACACAACGGTAACAAACAATTGGGGGAACTCACGGGGCAGATAGTAAGGTCGCAGTGACACAGAAAGCAGTTCAATGTCGGGGGTACAGAGTCGCTCTCTTACCAGGATCGATTTTCCCTGTGACTGTCAGATCGCGGTCCGCTCTGACCAGGGTGAAGCCGGCCGGCTCCACTTCTCTGTCCGGGACTCTGTCATCCAGCCAAGTCTCAGTAAATGCCAGCAAACAGGCCTCCCGATATTCGTGTTGGAAGCGCAGATTCGCTGACAACTCATCCGCTTTCCCCCTCAGTGACTGGGCATTAATCAGCAAGGTGGTGGGTAAGGGAAGTTTGTTCTGCTGTATTGGATTCCGCTGCCAGCAGCGTTTTCATTATTTAGTCCGTTCGTAGCGGGTATGTACACGATCAACAAGATCAGTCCAAAACCCACCACTGGAAATCCATGGTTGGCAGAATGTTTGTAAACTAAGTGTACAAATTAAAAACATAAAATAACGCCACTAAGTGTACAAATTAAAAACATAAGATAACGCCACACTGCAGGTCGCAACAGAGACGCTGCTACCCGCTATTTTCTTAGTTACGTTCATGGTTACGTTACGTATGACGAAAGCGCGTAAGTGCAAGCCCTCAGAAACCCATAGAGATTGTATTGAAAGCTCTGAAATTTGAAAAAAATAGATTTTACATGGGAGTCTATGACAGACTTCTGGGCGATTTTCAACCTGACTGAAATCGCCCCAAAAGGGGGGGGGGGGGCATTTGAAGCACGACTTTAGCCTGATTGGACATTTAGTGGCAGTCAGATCAGATTAGAACACTGATAACTACTGTTGCCGTGATATAATTGATTAGAAAAAAAATCCCTTCCTTTTCCCGTTTGGCAGTGCGTCGCCCATATCGCCCTATTGAACACACCGCCCCTGATTGTAGAATTATAGTGAAGACATCAAAACTATGAAATAACACATGGAATAGTAACCAAAAAAGTGTTAAACAAATCAAAATATATATATACTTTACATATCCACCCTTTGCCTTGATGACAGCTTTGCACACTCTTGGCATTCTCTCAACCAGCTTCATGAGGTAGTCACCTGGAATGCATTTCAATTAACAGGTGTGCCTTTTTATAAGTTAATTTGTGCAATGTCTTTCCTTAATGCGTTTGAGCAAATCAGTTGTGTTGTGACAAGGTAGGGGGGTATACAGAAGATAGCCATTTTTGGTAAAAGACCAAGTCCATATTATGGCAAGAACAGCTCAAATAAGCCAAGACAAACGACAGTCCATCATTACTTTAAGACATGAAGGTAATTCAATCTGGAAAATCTCAAGAACTTTGAAAATTTTTCAAGTGCAGTCGCAAAAACCATCAAGCGCTATGATGAAACTGGCTCTCATGAGGACCGCCACAGGAATGGAAGACCCAGAGTTACCTCTGCTGCAGAGGATACGTTCATTAGAGTTACCAGCCTCAGGAATTGCAGCCCAAATAAATGCTTCACAGAGTTCAAGTAACAGACACATCTCAACATCAACTGTTCAGAGGAGACTGTGTAAATCAGGCCTTCATTCTCGAATTGCTGCAAAGAAACCACTACTAAAGGACACCAATAAGAAGAAGAGACTTGCTTGGGCGAAGAAACACGAGCAATGGACATTAGACCGGTGGGAATTTGTCCTTTGGTCTGGAGTCCAAATTTGAGATTTTTGGTTCCAACCGCTGTGTCTTTGTGAGACGCGGTGTGGGTGAACGGATGATCTCTGCATGTGTATTTCCCACCGTAAAGCATGGAGGAGGAGGTGTTATGGTGTGGGGGTGCTTTGCTGGTGACACTGTCTGTGATTTTTTTTTCTGCAGCGATATGCCATCCCATCTGGTTTGGGCTTAGTGGGACTATCATTTGTTTTTCAACAGGACAATGACCCAATACACCTCCAGGCTGTGTAAGGGCTATTTTACCAAGAAGGAGAGTGATGAAGTACTGCATCAGATGACCTGGCCTCCACAATCCCCCGACCTCAACCAAATTGAGATGGTTTGGGATGAGTCGGACCACAGAGTGAAGGAAAAGCAGCCAGCACGTGCTCAGCATATGTGGGAACTCGTGCTCAGCATATGTGGGAAGCATTCCAGGTGAAGCTGGTTGAGAGAATGCCAAGAGTGTGCTAAGCTGTCATCAAGGCAAAGGGTGGCTATTTAAAAAATCTCAAATATAAATTATATTTTTATTTGTTTAACACTTCTTTGGTTACTACATGATTCATTTTTACATTTTACATTTTAGTCATTTAGCAGACGCTCTTATCCAGAGCGACTTACATATTTTTTTATACTGGCCCCCTGTGGGAATCGAACCCACAACCCTGGCGTTGCAAACGCCATGCTCTATCAACTGAGCTACATCCCTGCCGGCCATTCCCTCCCCTACCCTGGACGACGCTGGGCCAATTGTGCGCCGCCCATGAGTCTCCCGGTCGCGGCCGGCTGCGACAGAGCCTGGATTCGAACCAGGATCTCTAGTGACACAGTTAGCACTGCGATGCAGTGCCTTAGACCACTGCGCCACTCAGGAGACATCATTCCATATGTGTTATTTCATACTTTTGATGTCTTCACTATTATTCTACAATGTAGAAAATAAAAAAAAATAAGAAAAACCCTTGAATGAGTAGGTGTTCTAAAACTTTTGACCGGTAGTGTATGAGCTACCTAATGTCCATGTTTAGTGAGTTTGGACATTTACAAGCGAACGTGAACGAGACATTATGCAAATGAACAAAGTTTTGATGCATGCTTGTCTGATGGAAGAACAGTACTGTGTACACACTGTGTCTGTGTGGAGCCTGGGAGTCGCTAGGGCAACGGGCCTGCCGGCTCTGCTCGGAGAAGATAGGGGAGGAACAGATGATGATGATGATTCAGAGAGGAGAAGCAACACATAAAACAAGGAAATCAAGCTGCTGTACTGATAACTCATTCAAAGAGCTTTGACTTCTCAAACACGACAGAAAGCTAACAGAATATGATACGCATGACCTTATTAATTCAGCCACTTACATAGATAACTAGCAAGCTAAACTTAAGAGTCGCCCTATCTCAGAATTCTTTATTTTTCACACAGGAAAAAATATATAAAACGCATAAGAAATATCTTGCTACGTTTTGTAAACGCCGATCTAAAATGCTTCTTATTGTAATTTCTGCTCTACGTCGAACAAATTTTGTGCTTCAGTTGCACTTTTCCACTTGGATGAGATTTCACAAATGGCATTCTATCAAACGACAGCGCTCTGACTGATGTGTAACTACTTTCTCTCCTGTACTTTTCTCGGTGTAGGCAGCCTACTTTCTCTGGTAAAATGCAAGATTAACTTTAAGCGAAACATTAGGAAATGTAGCTTGTTACATTTTTTCTAGGATAAACATTAGAAATATGATGTCCATTTATAATTTTTTGCAAAAAAAGACCTTGCTTTTTCTCTGCTCATTTACTTGTGTGTCTGCTAGCCAAATAGCATTGCACTTCTGTCGTCGTCTGATGAAAATGAAGCTATTTTCTGCCGAATGTGTTGCGCTAATGTATTTTATGTGAAGGAAAACTATAGTTGTACATCCCTGATCACTCGTTTGAAGCAAAAAAACACTGTTGACTCTCAATATAAAACACGACCCCTGTCAATACACAGCTGGACTCACCTGCTCCCGCTTTCTCCCGTTGTGCTATTTACAAACAAACACGTGACTGGTTCAACTGTTCTGGGGAACTACGGTAAGCTTCGTAATGTAAAATAATGTGACAGGTGAAATGAAGAACGCAATCTGCTTTATCTCCTAACGTATTGCACAAGGTGACTGCAGGTATTTACTTAAAAAGTAGCTACAAATATTAAAATGTATTGAAAAACCATCCCGTGGCTATTTCCAAATACCCCGGTATCATAAGGTATGACATCCAAGCCTAATACCCACAACATGAAGCAGCCAGCATTATGCTTGAAAATATGGAGAGTGCAGTATTTTTGCAGTATTACTTCATGCCTTCTTGCATTCAGGATGCATGTTTTGGAATATTTTTTGTTCTGTACAGGCCTCCTTCTTTTCCCCTTGTCAATCAGTTTAGGATTGTGGAGTAACTAAATCGTTTGCATTTTGGTCATATAGCAGATGCTCTTATCCAGAGCGACTTACAGCAGTGATTCCATAAATGTTTCTACTACGATGTTGTAACCACAATGTTGTTGATCCATCCTCAGTTTTCTCCTATCACAGCCATTCAACTCTGTAACTGTTTTAAAGTCACTATTGGCCTCATGGTGAAAACCCTGAGCGGTTTCCTTCCTCTCCGGCAACTGAGTTAGGAAAGACGCATGTATCTTTGTAGTGACTGGGTGTATTGATACATCATCCAAAGTGTCATTAATAACTTCATCATGCTCAAAGGGGTATTCAGCGTCTGTGTTTTTTATTTTGACCTATTTACCAATAGGTGCACTTCTTTGCAAGGAATTGGAAAACCTCCCTTGTCTTTGTAGTTAAATCTGTGTTTGAAATTCACTGCTCGACTGAGGGACCTTACAGATAATTATATGTGTGGGGTACAGAAATGAGGTAGTCATTCAAAAATCATGGTAAACACTATTATTGCACACAGAGTGAGTCCATGCAACGTATTATGTGACTTGCACATTTTTACTTCTGAACTTATTTAGGCTGCCATAACAAAGGGGTTAAATACTTAATGACTCCCGACATTTCAGCTTTCATTTTTTATTAATTTGTAGAAATGTCAAAATACCTAATTCCACTTTAACATTATGGGGGCCAGTGACAAAAAAATCTCAGTTTAATCCATTTAAAATTCAGGCTGTAACGCAACAAAATGTGGAAAAAGTAAAGTGGTGTGAATATTTTCTGAAGGCACTGGGTCAGGTTATATATCCTCACATGGCTTTAGGAAGTATTGTGGAGTGTTACAGTGCTATCTGTTTCCCCCTTTGCCGCACTGCCTCCCTGCCTTATTACACGCCTCAAGCTAACCGCTCACCTTGGCTAGCAGTAATGATGAGTATTGACAAAAAGCACCTCAGACTCAGACATAAGATACAGTAACTGAGGTAAATAAAAACTCGGAACTGTCAGTGACAGGTATTTTGGATTTTCTTTTTTTCTCGCTCTCATTTTTCAGAATCTTTCTATTCCCCCCTGAGGTGAAAGGTAAGCCTGTCTCTCGGTTACAGTCCGGCAGTGCAAGTCATTGAGTTACAGGGAGCAACAAAGGCTTTTGAAAGGCAGGCAGTAGGAAAAGTAGGAGAGGTGCCATGGAGCAGTATCTTATCGTTCTTTGGTATATGGCACATTAGGAAAGTGTTATAGACTCTCCTCCGCCATATCTAGTGCACAGCAGTATGCGATTACCGCTTGCCTATACACGGGAACCAGGCCCACGCCCTGGCTTTATTAGAATGTATTATCGTCTGAGGTGGGCCGGGCCGATGAGCTCACTTTTATTGCTTTCGATAACAGGTCATTGTGACCTTTTTAAATGTTTACTTAAATCACATGGAAAGATATTTTCTAGAGATTGTGTTCTTAACAACTGAGTAATTTCCTATCGCTCTACCCCTGACATGACATAACACAAGTCTGCATAATGATCAGATATATTTTTAAAGCCCCAAATAAAATGTGCATGAGAAACCACATCATAAATGTTGGGTAATCCTCGAGGGAAACAACTGTGCACCCATCCAGAGAAGGATGGCTGACTAGCCTACTTTCTAGTTTGCCTTTTTGTTGGTTCCACCACTGATCTCATTTCAGTCATCGGGGGTATTGTTGTGAAATAATGGTCCTAACAGGTCTTTGAAAGCTCCTCTGTTTGCTCAGCTGAAAGCTATAGGCCCCGCATGGCATATGGCCTGCTGTAAAACGCCAGGCCTGTCATGTAGAAACAGACAGCAGGAGCTGACGTCAATACCAACCTTATACCCTACCATATTCCCCCCACTGTGTGATCCCCATAGCAGAATGCTAAATTCTCTTTGAACTACTTTTTGAGTGCTGGCTTTATTGTTTGGACGAAGACCATTTCTATCTAAACAGCTGGGAGTGAAATGGTTTTCCATTGAATAAAAGAGCCCTAAGAATTAATTATTCTCTCTTTCTCCCAGGGGTCATCAGAACCCAGGAACTCCTGGACCACGAGACCACCCCGCACTACTGGCTGACTGTGTACGCCACGGACGGCGGCGTGGTACCGCTCTCGGCCTTCGTGGAGGTCTACGTGGAGGTCCAGGACGTCAACGACAACGTGCCGCAGACCTCGGAGCCCGTCTATTACCCGTCGGTGGCGGAGAACTCGCTGAAGGACGTGTCCATCATCCAGATCGAGGCGGTGGACCCGGACGCCCGGGCCAGCGACAAGCTCTCTTACAAGATCACCAGTGGCAACCCCCAGGGATTTTTCGCCATCAACTCCAAGATGGGTAAGACGATGGCAAAGGCCGCCACTTGAATTGAACTTTATTGATCCCCAAGGTGTAATGAATTTCTCGCAGGCAAACGTGTAGTGCTGCTATGCTTTAAATGAAGCACATACACAGAATAGCAAAGGTAGACACAAAACACAACCAGTTAAGGTCATCAATGTTATTAGTGTTATCCATTTGTTGTACAATGAAATGTATTGGAAATGGCCTTGTCTTTTGCTTCACATAGGCTTTGTCTATTCCAATGCATGTGTTCTGTAATATGAAACACGAAGCATGTACAGCGCCTTGGATTTATCCTACCACGTACAATGTGTGGCCAGCAATCAATTAACCATCGCCTAACAGATTGTAGGCAATAGGCTACATACCGACTGAGAGTCTACTGTACCTAACGTCATGTCCAATTTCATCACTTGAAAGAATCCAACTCCTCTCACAAGGTCATGAATAGCACTTCTACATAAAAGGGTAAAGAATACATGTAGAAAGAATAGAGGTTTAATCGCCCTTTGAGACTTTGAGAGGGTACATGGGGGCAGTTGTAGGTTATCTAGGTTATATCAATCTTCTTGTTCTTGTTTTATAAGAAGCCTCCAGTATCTCCAGTATGGCCACATGATTTTAGCATGGTCGATAGGAGAGATGTCTACAGGGTTTCTTCCCACTACCCACAGAGCACAGAGTGTTCACATATGGTGTTCTGAAAATGGATGAACGTTGAATATTTCATCGTTTTTCTTGGGGGGGTGAAGCCCACTGGAGCAGACAGTGATTTTACTCCAACATGAGCGGAAATAGTAGTAAAAGGTGCAAACTGAAGCTTTTGAAACAGAAGCCGAAGCTTTTGAATGTGGATGTTGTTGTTTTTTCAGTGGACTGTGTGTTATTGTTGGTGGGGTTTTGAGGAATTGTTCACACTTTATATTCAGTTGGACAGATACCATGTTATTACATATGAATGTGATGTATTAGTATAAAAGCGTAGAGCTTGACTTTGTACAGTTTGCTTTCATTACAATTCAGTCTGGACTTCATATGCCTTATTTGCAGTCCCCATGCCCAGCTATGTAATTACAGTTGGGTTACCAAAGCAGTTAGATGCTACAAGGCATAACCGCAGCTCAATATGAAAAGTTTGTCAGCAAAATTATATTTGTGTGTCCCCTTGTTATAATTAACACAGCATGCTCATTACAAACAAGCTTGTTTATTTTGATTGCATTGTGCAACCTTGTATGTCTTTCAGTAACTGCTAATTGACAAACTCATTTAATTCCTACCTCTGAGTTTTGCTTGTTGCTTTAAATGCAAGTACTCATTTAAACTGACATGAGGAATGGCAGTAGAGCAATCGGCTCTCACATTTTCCTCCATTGACTTGTGTGGTCCCATATTCCAAGGCGGTCCTCCCATCAACAAACTGTGGTTATTTTTGTTATAGCAGGGGCCAATGTGAATTTTCTTGACCAAATAAGGGTTGGTCATGTAGCATGCTCTCTCTGGCTTTCCTAATGATGGCTACTCTCCAAGGAGACGGAAAAGAAAGGGAAGGGGAGAAAGAAAGAAAGAGAACGTTCTTTCTTTCTTTCTTTCTTTCTTTCTTTCTTTCTTTCTTTCTTTCTTTCTTTCTTTCTTTCTTTCTTTCTTTCTTTCTTTCTTTCTTTCTTTCTTTCTTTCTTTCACATTCAGCTGCATTTAGCTCACTTAGGCATTAACTCAACGGTGCAATGGCCGATAGGTTTGATAATGAAGGTGGGAGTTGTGTGGGAGGTGGAAGGTTTGTGTGGGTGTGTGTGTGTGTGTGTGTGGGTTGACTGTAAGATTCCACTTAGACAGATAAGACATCCTGAACACAGTGGGTGTAGTGTATTTCTCATGAAGTGGATCAGGCATTCTTGAAGTGAGTTACAGTATAGACTAGTAGAGGTGAGTTAGCCAGACTCATGCTGTCGAGATAATAGCCGTTGTTGGATTTTAGGAGTTGGCCTAGATTTGATTCTCCTATCTGTAGTTAGTACCTGTTGAAGAAAGTATATAGTGGAGACCAGCCTAGACACTAATGCACACCAGTGATTAATCACATAGGATCTGATCAGCCGAAGAGGTTTAATTTCACCCAACGTTTTAATAGGATTCTCTGCTATTCTATTATCCTGTGTTGCCGTAAGAGCTCCAATGGTGCCCTCTGATCAATGGGGTGATCAAATGTGACCCCGGCCTTTGATTTGGGCTGACCTCCAATGATTTTCATATAACCTCTGAGATGGAAAGCACCTCACCGCTCATCTGTTGAAAACCCAAAGGTGTGTCAGAGAAAAGTGAATTGACGTCCATCTTAGTCTATTTTAAGGTTGGCTGCCCTGGATCGTCCCCATAGTCAATAGTTGCTTTCACCGTAGTGTATTGTAGTTGGGTGTTTTTGCCTCCCCATCCAAAGAGGCTGGATTGAAACACGTTCTCTCTTCCTAACTTATCCGATATGCGTCCCGGTCTTTCGACACATTGCTTCTGGATGTTCTGAAAACTGCCCTATTTAGCTACCACAGAGCAGATTTCAACTTGCCCTTTGAACCAAATGCTCCTACTTAGCCTACATATTAGCAGTAAATCTTTCCCCCCTTCCGGTTTACGGGGTATTTATGAAAGTCAAAGCTTTACGGGGCTACTGAGTCTACCTGTTTATGTTCCAAACGTGTAGTGCTTCTCCGGTTGCTTTGTTTTCGTCTTCTCAAATGGATTACACGAAGGACGGTGGTGAGCGAGGGATGAAACCCATTCATGCATCTCAAAGTGTGTTCAAACATTTATCAGTGGAACACCAGGGCTCCTAGCGTCAGGTTCAACAAAGAGGTGGCTGGTACAAAGGGAAACTTCAACTAAATCACTGCCACCGTATATGCGTTTGTGGAATTTCTGTGGAGGAGAGGTTGGGAGGGAGAGAGAGCGAGCGAGTGAGTGAGAGAGCGGGAGGGAAGGTAGAGAGAGTTGAGTGCATCTCATCTGTTGCTGAAAACGTTAAATGTAATATTCATAAGTGAATGGGACACATTTGTTCAAAGATAAACTTAACTAAATCACTTCTATATGCATTTGTATTATTATATGGAGAGAGAGAGGAAGAGTGCATCTCAGCTGCTGCTGAAAACATCATCACAGAATGTTCATAAGCGAAAGGGACACATTCTCTTTTTATTTTCCACGTCACTGCCATTAAGACGGATGAAAATTGGCTTCGTACCCGGTCGACATTATCAACTCAATATGACATTCTCCCCGCATATTACAGGACAGCGCGCTCTGTAATTACATGCTCAAAAACGGCAACGGGAGTAAGGCCCTGTTTTGGCATATCTACAAAGCTCTCCAAAGGGGTGGGAGAAAGAAAGGAAAAAATAGTGTGTGTTGTATGTGTGGGTTTTGGCAAACGTTGCATACACATGTGTAGCTAGCTAGCTTATTAGCTTTGAAGCTAACATTTCTTCCCTTCAGCTTTCTGCCTGAAAGTCTGACAGCTTCAAATGCAGAGAGATGAAGGCTTCTTCTCATGGTGCTTTTGGGTCACCCTTTTCCCTATTTTGGTGAGCATTGCAGACACGTGTAGCTTAGCTAGCTAGCGATCATTGAAGCTAGCATTTTCCTCCTGTACCTTATTGCCTGACAGTCTGAGGGCTTCAAACGCAGATGAAGGCTTCATCTCCTGGCTGCTTTTGTGTCGCCGTGCCCTTTTCCCTGTGCAGTCCCCGTATCGGCTGGCTAAATCCCAGGATGAAAGGCTTTATTTCTGCAGAGTAAACAAGTCTTGTTATTTAGTTCCTTGCAACTTTGGGGGTTTCATTTAAGTGCAAGGCCAGCTCTCTCCCTCACTCTCGCAAGACACCATGGCAATCCCATTCGGAGAAAGCTGGCAATGGGAATTCATGGAGTTTTGGGGTTTCGCTTGGTCCGGAATAAAAAGAGTTCCTCCCCGCTGTTTGGAAGTTTTCTTTTCCCTAGTCTTTCGAAGAAGCCAAAGAGAATTGGATCACTTGAAATCTATCTGCTTTGTGAGATTGACTCCTTGGCCATTGATGTATGTGGGCAGTCTGTGTGTGTAGCATTGTATGTGCCTCCTCACATAACTCATTGGTCTGTATCCAGAGCTGGTGTGAACGACTCTCCCCCTCTCTCCTCCAGCTGATCTAGTGCTAACCCACCCACTCGCTGTGTTGAAGCGGATCAGGTTTATCATGATACACATACCAAAGGATTCCCTCCCTCCCCCTCTCTCTCTGTGGGTTCAGTGTCCTTTTCAAACACATCCCCGGTCGGAAAACACGTTTTCTGCTTTTCCCACCCTCGCTCGGCTTGACCCCCCAGCGAGCCCGTGTAGGAGTAGAGTTACAGAGTTACCCACCTCCTGCTCTGTACAAGCCTCCACTCTCACGTCCACTCTCCACTCTTTAAATCGCTACAAAGCTTTGGCATCTCGTTAAAAAGAGACGTCGGGAGGTATTCTCAGGCAGTCGTCAGGGAGAGGTGGACGTGAGCTGCCTGCCTGCGTAGAGGGAGAGTAGGAAGACGGTTACTGTGAATGATACCTGGCGAAAGTGGGATTTAAAAGATGCAGGCAGCCTGCTGCGACGGATTGGACTGGACTTTGAACAATGCCGGAGCTGGAGTGTGTGCTCAAACAGCCGTGACTTCTCGTCGGAAATACACTTGCACTCCGGAAACAGAGAGGGAGGGAGGGAGGGAGAGGTTGGCCAAAGATCACAAGAATATCACGGAGAGTCTGTGATAGCCTCGTTCTAACTAGCTGACAATCCTATGTAGTCCAAAGGTGATTACACCAATGTGTCATCATGTACTGATGATTATGATGAAGGTGATGATGATTATGATATGTAAGAGGAAGAGCACCAATAGTCTCTGGTTCAATATTTCAGTGTTTTACTACGATCCCTTTAGGACTCTGTTTTATGACGATAGGTTCAAGGTTCCCTAGGATCAAAGGCTGTCCTTGACCAAGATTATAGACTATTGT